TTCTCCACCTCTGATATGAGCTCAATTGTTAAACAGGGCCCCGCCCTGACCAACAGTGACTTTACCTGTAGCCTCATTATCCAGATACTTCAAAACTTTGAAGTAAAACATTACATTTATTTAGCATGTGAGAGTGCATGTGCCACAGCATATGTGCAGAGGTTAGTGGTCAACTTGCAGCAGTTGGTTCTTTCCTTCTACCATGTGGGACCTGGAGCCTGATCTCAGGTCGTCATCACTCATGATGGCAAGCATGTTCTAGCTCATTCATCTCACAGGTCCTTGAATGATATTTCTGAAGCCCTAAGGTATATCCAAACCTGCATTTTTGTTACGAAGAATGAAATGGCAGCCCTTATGATTCCTTGAGATTTGATTGTGCAAGCTGGACCCTCCCTATTGGCCAGGGAGACGATGACTGGGCTCAGTCCTGTTATCTATCTACTGAAACTGTGGTACAAGGACCTCGGCAGGAACGGTGCAGAGCAGAGTGAAGAGCCAAGCACAGAAGACAGTCTCTCACATTTCAGACTGATAGATTGGGAAATTATGAATACTTGCTGCTCTGAAGAATATACCTGTCCTTTATGAAACTGAAGTCTTTCACTTTCCCCACAGTAATTGGTTCCTAAGTGAACCAGGAAATTACTCTATCTTGTCCCGACTAGAACGGGAGTTCACCAGGCAGGGATTCCACTCTGCTACGATCACTGTCATATAGCCAGAATCGAGTATAGTTTCTAGCGTGTGGTAGGCACCATATATTACTGAAATCGAAGACTGAACCTTATCTTCCTTCCCATGACACTCTCCCGTCTGCCACATTCCCTTCCTGGGGATGATTGAACACCTGTGTTCAATCATCTTTCTCACAGCAGCACAGCCCGAGGCAGACTGTCTTCAGGAAAATGCCCTGCCTCATGCACAGTTTGGTGGATCATGCAAGGCTATCATTTGCGGTCCTTGATCATTGTGTGGAAGCTCTGACCGTGACAGAGTTTGCTGCTGGCTATCTACTAGAATGTCTAGCAAGTGAGGCAAGGAAGTTTCAGAACTATAAGCATTCCAAATAAGCCCTTGCCCCATGATCTACCTGCAAGTGCACTTTTCAAGTTGTTATCCTATGTTCTTCTATGGTAGGCCTCAGACCTACAAACTGTTTGAAAGTGTATTCACAAATAACAAGAATAAGCCATAACAAAGCCTTCATGCCTCTTTCCTTATATCCTTCTTTCCCTTCTTCACCCTGTGTTCTTCCTTCTACTCTTTCTCTCCTTGCCTTCACCCCCTCCTCTCCTTTCACATAGGTTCTCAGGGTGGCCTTACATTTATTACCGCCTTCACCTCGTGCATGCTGGGATTACAGGAGTACATAAGTAGGACCAACGAAGATTTCTATTTCTTAATGAACATTTTAAAATGGCTGACTGAAAAGACAGAAAATATGTCACAGTGAAGCTCTTAGAATGGTCAACACCCTCAGTGAGGTTGTCTACAAACTGCTAAAACAAGCTTACACTTCTCTCGATAACTCTGTTTACGCCCTAGTATGAAGTATTCTACCATATTTAATTAACAAATTAATCACTGTCAATGGCTGATAACAACTCAAGTTCATTAAAATTTCATATGTCCCTCTATTTTCAAGCCAGAAGGTGCTGATATCTCTAATCAGTGTGGCAGGAACTGGAGTTAAAAGTTACCTTTTCACCCAGAACAGCAAACAAACTCCTTTATAGATGAAATCATTAATGGTGCTCTCCTGCTGGCAATATTGGTTCCTTCTGTTTACTAACATATAGATTATGAAGGACATTATCTTTAAAGTCAATGTTTAAGCATCTGGACCACTGGCAAAGACAGCAGAATAAATATATGTTTTTGTAAGTGTTCTATCCCCCCTGGACAGCACACATGTCCAAAAACTGAGCAAAACATGATTTATGATGAAATTAATAAGAGCCATAATCCAACAGCAAGGTCCCTGGGAGTATGCCTGACGGAATAAGCAAGAGATACACAAATACATTCTGGAAAAATAATGATTACAGAAACCCTGAAAATTTTAGACCAAAAGGTTTATTCCTCAAAGAAATAAGACATGCAAGAGAAATAAAATAACAAGCTAAGAGAAATAAATTTTAAAAAAATACAAGTATGAAAGAAGTGAAAACAACCCATTAGGTTTAGGAAAAAAAAAACAAAACAGTAGAGAAACCAAATCGGTGAAATGGAGGATCGGACTCAAGGGTGTAAAGATCACAGATGAAGAAAGACAAGGAGAGAAAAGCCATAAAAAAAGATATATGGGAAAATGGGTAACACAATGCTGACAAACAAGATTTCTGAAGAACAGAACAAGTGCAAAATGATACAAAATGTAGAAAGACCCAATATTTGACCAGAGACAGCCAGCAGACAACCACCAACCCTGAGCTATACTGAAACCAAGTTACAAAATATCCAGGATAAACATGCAACCATGCCAAGCAAGCAGGTGGTCTACAAAACTGAAAGAAAAATCCACCTGGATTCCCATCTTCGGAACACCAGCAAATATAGACAGTAGAGTCTCTAAAGAACCTAGGGGGACAGAATGTGATCCAAGGTTCTGATAGCCAGCCGAGCTATTATTGTAAGCAACGGCAATAGAAAGAATGTGTAAGAGCATCTAATTGAAGCTGTAATTGAATCTACCAAAACACAGAACCATCTGCTTCCAAATGTAGAATCTTTGTACAAAAAGGCTGGCAGCAGGCACTAATCTCTTTCAAATATAAACTCTAGCCATGACCTACACTAGTCTAAAGTTGTCTGTTTTACAAGGCAAAGCTGCCTAATCCACTTGTCTCCTCTAACTGTGCCAGAAAGGAAACACACCAAAGAAAACCTTTCCTGAGTGCAACTGCCTTGTATTACAGAAGACTTTTGATTTACAAATCATCCTCAAGGATTAATATGCCCAAGAAATTCTTCTAAAGAGATCATATTGTTCAGAGCATTGGCCTAGGAACAGGAAGTCCCAAGCACTGACTTTGGTTCTGCTACTCACTTTGCATGTCTCCTTGGAAAGCCACTAAACTGCTTTGGAATTCACACGGAAAATGAAAGCTACTTTGCAGAGTCCACCTCCTGGCATCATAAGCATCACATGGGGTGCTGGACTCTTTGGACTCTCTAAGGAGGACTGTAAAACCACGTTACTAGATAGAAAGAAGCCCTTGTATTATGAATCCAAACTAGATATTACAAGACAGTGAATCACACGGCTCATGTGGATCTATTTCTAATTCCTATCACTTCACCATATTTTAAAGCCATCTCTTAGCATTATGAAAAGAAATTCAGTTAATGGCCCCAAATCATTACCAATTTGAAGTTAGGGATATCTGGAGAACTTAGAAAGATGTTTTTACACCCACTATTCCAAGTTTCTATCAGCTTTTATCCATTGACTCAACAAATACATATTAAGTACCTACTACATGCCAGGTACTGCTTCAAATAGCATACATGGCTCTCAAATACTCAAGAGTATAAACTGGAGGGCATTTTGGAGAAATGGGGAAGAATTCAGCTGAAAACAGGTCAATGTTAATTTGTAACATAAACAGAATTCACAGAGCGAGCAGGACATGCTTAAGCACAGAGCATTAAGCCCTGTCAATGGAAAGGATACATAATTGTGCCAGTTGAGGGGAGAATAAACATGGATGTTCCTGAAACTCTTCTTGTGGTTGGTTTAGGACTGAGGTTAAATTACTGATGACAAGAAGACAGGAACAGCTGGAATGTACTAGGCTTAGATGGACATGAGTTAAGTCCAAGAGTGTTAGTGAAGGCCTGTGCACTAAATCCTTAAGACATTTTAACAAAAAGCTGGCTTTTCAAAAGGACTTAAAAAAGTATGACAACGTGTTTATATGCTATAACCAACCCTTATGTGGTATTTGTTGTAAGAGTGTGGTAATCAGTGGGCAGCCCCCAAACAATAAACACAGTGCTGAAGCAAGGCAATAGATACTACAATATGACTCTGTTGCCTCCTTTCTCTTACAGTCAAACTTGCAAGTGTAAAGGAAGATGGCTGGAAACTGAGACTCAGTAAGATATGGACATACTGTGGTGTTTCTAAGGCAGCCAGGGTCTTTAAATGTAAAGGACCATTATTTTCACAGCCTTTCCTCACAAGTCAATATAGCTTAACCTTCAAGACCCTGACTTAGCCCTGTGAGCAGTGGGTCTGTCATCAGTTTCTTTGAAGTTTATCAACATTCTTTTTGTTTGCCTGTCAGCTCTGTAATGAGGTCTTTATAAAGACCAAAAGGGGTTACCAGGAACTCAAGTAATGCAAATAACTGAAAGAAAATCAGATGCTGTGTGACTTAAAGAAAGTTACAACTGAGCCAACCTCAGCTAAGCCAGAATAAAACTCTGAAGCAAAAGTCTTCACTATGGTGCCAGTGGGAATGACTCCAATGCTACAGCAGTCATGTACAAGTTACAACTTTTTTTTGAGAGGAAGTCTTGTTACAAAGCCAAGTCAATGATCATGATCCTCCTGCCTCAACATCGAGAGCACTGAGAGGCAACTTTTAGAGTGCTTTAATCAATGGAACAGAAGTATGCAAATGAATTTTAAAGTAAAAATAATACAGATGAATGGAACATGAAAGTACCACACCTCACAATGACAATATAGTATAGTCAGATCAAAGTCAGCAAAGTCCAAATCGGAGAGCAAAGTGGGAACTCTGGTACTGCTTTTTCAAGATGTACTCCACTGAAGCCTTCGGCTCCCAGACCCCCCAGGTCCTAGCTGGAGGTCACAAACTGCAACAGTAGGATCTGTTATATCTGCAATGAGAAAACTCAGAATCCTGGGAAGAATTCAGACACTAAACTCTATGGCAAGATATAGAATATCGGGTAAGAGCGCTAAGGAGGTACAGTGCTCTTTTGCGACAGGTGCAAATGATGCCACAAAAAGACACCATGGGAAATTGCTCAGGTTACAACTTTAGTGGAAGGTCTGAGTGGGTTAACTACAGGAAGGGCTCCATGGAAACACTAAGCCAATATAAAGGAAGCAACATGTTCAAGCATTGGGAATAACAATAGTGCCACAGTTAAGAGTTGGTAGAATAAGGGTCTCTGGTTAACTTGCAGAAGAAGATAATCTTTCTTCAGAGATGACCACAGCACTCGGTTTTCTACAAAGTTCTATTAGTCTTGAACTTGTCCCTATGAAGAAAAGAATCCATAGAGAGCTCATGAGTATAACCCTTCTCTATTTTAACTAAAACTTACTCAGAAAATTTATAGTGATAATTCTAAAATCTATGCCTTAACTCAGAATTATTTTCTATAGTTACTACAGAAAAGTGGCATTTTATTACTTACATAAACTTTATAACAGTTCTTTACTCACAATTGAAAGTTTCATTAGAAACTGGGCATGGTAGTGCATGCCTTTAATACCAGCATTCAAGAAGCAGAGGCAGGTGGCCCTTTTGTGAGTTAGAGGGTAGCCTGTTCTATATAGTGATTTCCAGGACATCCAGGGTTATGTAGAGACACCCTGTCTCAAAAATAAATAAATAAATAAATAAATGCATGAATAAATAACTAATTAATTCAATTAGAACCATGCTATGACTGTTAATGCATATTGAATTTCTTCTTGGTCTGAGAAAGTCTCAATTTAGAACAGTGGTAAGGGTTGTAAACTTTGAATATAGTTTAGTTAGAATATCTGTATAGTTCAAAAGAGCAAATTGTATGGTATGTGAATTACATTTCAATAAAACTGCTAGGGTTAGATTAGGGTTAGGGTTAACTCAGACTTAGGGGTACAAAGGATTAGGGTTAGTTGAAATTGACTAAAGGATACACTTTTTAGAACTCTTTCCATATAGGCACTGATTTGCTCATTCCCACTGTTGTACCAAGATCGTTTCCCACGTGTTTATTCTATTTGTAGAGCTTAACAATTTTAACAACAACAACAACAAAAAAAACAATTTTAACTTGCCAGATAACTACTTTAGTATTCCATTTTTGCTAAAATTTGTTTGAAACATATTGGAAATTAGTAATGATCCTTAATTTGCATACAATATATTAAGTTATGTACTGTGGGTCTCACTATGTAAATCTACCTGGCCTGGAATTTGTTATGTAGATGGTGGCTGTCCTCCAAGTCACAGATTCATCTGCCTCTGCCTCTTACATCCTAGGATTAAGGGTGTGAGCCACCACGCCCAGCCTTGAAAACAGCTTTCAGTTAAAACCACCATTCCACACCCCAAATGACTCTTATGAAAGATGGCTTCTGATACTACCAAAATTACTCCATGTAGGTGAGTAACAGTTTGAATTAACTGGCTACACAGATGACCAACATGATATTTGGCTTACATACAAACTGAAAATGGGATTACAGTAAACTGACCAAATACAGTCAACTGATCTGATTAAAAAAAAAAAGAGAGATACAATCAAGCCTTGTATAGCTGGTCAGAGCACAACTCTTCCCTGGGGAAAAAAATCACCTACTGTGGGAGCAGCAGGGATGGATAACTTTCTTGCTACTATCATATGACAGATGGTGAATGACTTAATCCCTTCTAAATTTCATGTTTTGAGATAAGTTGCATGGAGGCCCACTATGTGTTCTTGCAGGAAAGATTAAAGAGCAGTACAGACAGATGTGTTTTATCCTTTATACTAGTCATTAGAAAACATCAGCAGAGCCCTTCACAGTTGATAGCTTCTGTGGGTCGGGAAATGAAAAATCCCAGTTATCATTAATGATTTGGCCACTGGGAGTTTTACCATGTTCCAATGAGTGCATGGATAACACAAATTGGGCTTAATGTACTTTTTTTTCTTTTTAGGGGAGGGGCTCAAGAGTGGGAGGGTGGACCTGGGAGGAATGGGAAATGAGTATGATCAAGGTGCATAGTATGAAATGACTAAGTAATCAATAGTTATATTATTTTGGGGAAAAATAAAGGAAAAATATATCAGAATGTATTGTATGATATAATATTGCAAAGCTATATAAATTACACTTGCCCACAAATGTTCTGTTCTGTCATGTTAAAGATGTTAAGAATCAAGGTTTGTACGGTAAGAAGTGTATATAAGAATAACACATTAGGGAGAAATAATGTTAAAATAAAATGAAATTATCAACAAGAACTTAGGTATCTGGGTATATAGATACATACATATATGTGTGTTGAGAACCTCTACCTAGAAAAAAGGGCTTAGAAGAGGTATAATGAGCACCCCTGCTCTCCAAGATTAGGCTCCAGTATCTGTTAAAAGGAACTATAAAGTGGCTGATTCCAGGAAAGGGGCATAGAAGGTGAGGCTGGGTTTAAGATATCATATTAGGCAAGAAAGTAGGACAACTTTCAAAAATTAATGTACTTTTGTCAACAGAGGACAGAAAACCAAGCTCAAAATAACTCTCATTATCCAAAAGTGTGCCAATATAAGCAGCAAAAACAATGACTGCTATTGTAATTTATGAAAAGCATTGAGAGAGAAAGATGCCATGCAACAGGGTTCAGGCAGAAGGGTTTTTTATTACAGAAAGGGATCATAAAAAGGGAAGGGGAGGAGGGCACTGGCCTCCAGGGACAAGAGCAGCAGGAGAGAGGAAAGAGGGGCAGAGAGAGGGGGTAAGAAAAAGAAAGAGAGATAGAAGGATGGAAAGGGAACATAGTAAATGTGCACAGGTAGTGCTCTCAGTGGCTACAGCTGAGGACATATCCTGTCAGAACTCCAAGGACGGGCCAGTACAGATGCCTGAATACTAACAACTATGATATATTATATCATGAATTGACTTTACAGGGAGTAAAGACAACAAGGTTGAATGTTTACATGTGTCTTTTGTTCTATGTTTTAAAAAAAAAACACCTCCTGTAATGGTCAGAAAAAAACATGCTCTATGGTAAAGAGGAGGAGGAGAACAATCTGGCTATAAAGGAGTCTCCCAGTTTATTTGAGAGAGACGTGGGTCATAGTCATAGACTTCAGATTTGTAGACTTTACTACTATATGTTATCCTCTACAAAAAATAAGTTCTGAGTATAATGCATAAAACAATAAAACACTATTAAATATACAATGCTGTAAAAGACAAGGCATAGCTGGGTGGTAGTGGCACACACCTTTAATCCTAGCATTCACAAGGCAAAGGCAGGCAGATCTCTGAGTTCAAGGCCAGACTGGTCTACAGAGTGAGTTCCAGGACAGCCAGGGCTGTTACACAGAGAACCCCTGTCTTGGAAAAACAAAACAAACAAACAAAAAGACAAGACCAAGAACTCTTGCACCATCCTTTAAGGCAGTAATTCTCAGCCTGAGGGTTACGATCCCTGGATGGCAACCCAGCCTTTCACAGGGGTCATATATCAGATATCCTGCATATCAGATATTTGCATCATGATTCACAAAAGTTTCAAAATTAGTTATGAAGTAGTAATGAAAATAATTTTATAGTTAGGGGTCACTAAAACATGAGGAATTGTTTTAAAGGGTCATAACATTAGGAAGGCTAAGAGGCACTGCTTTAGGGTGACTTTTAATTCAACTGCTTACCTAAAAAAGTGGGTTCTAAAAGAACTGAATTTTCCCTTTAAGTTTAAAGGAAAAAGTTAAACACATATTAGAAGAACTGTATTCTCTGGCATGATCTTTGTTAAGGGGAAAGAAATGTACTTTATAGAGGAATATCAGTCAATAGTTACCAAAGAAGGGTTTTTTTTTTTTTTTTAAGACTATGTCACTTTTACAATGATGAGTAAAATACTCATTTAGGGACAATTTGACTTTCTTCCTTCCTTTCCAATTGGGGGGCCCTCTATTTCTTTCTCTTGCCTATATGCTCTGGGTAGGAATTCCTATACTATGCTGAATAAAATTGGTAATAGTGGGTGTCCTTATCAGGCCAAAACAGTCAACTAGGATGAAAACCAGTAGGTAAGTGGTTGATAGGTTAAGTATGCTTGTGTAAAGTGCCTCACTCCAAAAACAACCAACCAACCAACAACAACAAAAGTATGAATTTCTTTCTAGTGAAAAAAAGGCTGAATTATACTACAGAACAGTGGTTCTCAACCTATGGGTTTTGACCCCTTTGACAAACTTCTATCTCCAAAAAAAATATTGACATTATGATTCATAACAGTAGCAAAATTACAGTTATGAAGTAGCAATGAATATAATTTTATGGTTGGGGGTCACCACAACATGAGGAGGAACTGTATTAAAGGGTCACAGCACTAGGAAGGTTGAGAAGCACTACAATAGAGGGATCAGATAGCCATCACCTAAATTATGGTCTACCCTTAGCATCACCAATAATGGATCAACCAGAAGTCATGTATCTAAACATATAATTCTGCAACAGTACTGATGGAGTATTCCAGCAGGGGAAAAAAAATAAAAAAGCTCCACTGAGAGCCTTTATAACAACTTTGATTTCCATAAAATATGGGAATAAGGAACAAGCTAAATTATACTTCAGAAAAGAACTAAACACATCAAGGTGGGGATGTTTTGCTGACATGGCCTTTCAACAGCAACACTTTCAATATTAAAAACACCTTGAGACTATCCAGATGTGTCATGTGGCCCTGCAATGGATCCCATTTTGGGAAATTCTTAACAAGATGTAAGCTGCTGACATGGAAAAGTAGAGACAGTTAAGTGAAACAGATGTATGTTGTTCAACAGTATGTAAAGTGATCTCACTTGGAGAAAATGCATATATATACAAATAGCAAATTCTTTAAAATAATATACACAAATCTGTACCCATAGCAATGGCTGAGTTGTGAAAATACAATGACGTTTTTCCTTTCTTCTTTCACTTAATATTTCCTAGATTTCTTGTTTGTAACACACGTTAATAAAAGATTATTTTAAATTGAAAAATGGAGTCTATCACACAGTGAAGCATTATTGGAAACCAAAGACTAGATTGTTTTATAAACATAAAATAGTGATAGCTGTTCTATGAGTAACGACATTTCATTTTTAATAATTTACTCTGATAAACTATATATAATACAGAACTCACTACCAGCTACTTTTAAGTGAACAGCTTAGTTACTTGGGCATATTCAGACTGTTGCATGATCGCAAACAGAAAATTTGTACTTATCAGCAATCCTTTGTTCCACCTTCCCTGTAGTCTTGGCATCCACCCTTCTACCTTCTGACTCTCTGAAATAATTGCTTTAGGAATCTCATACAAGTGGAACAGCACTATTTATGCTTTTGAGTATGGCCTGTTCCACATCAAATAATGACTTCAAGATTCATCCACAATGAAGCATGTTTCAGAATTCCCTCCCTTTTAAAGACTAAATAATGCTTCACTGTGTAGATAGACTCCATTTTAATTTTAGCTTCATTTTGTTCAGTTTTAATCCACAAAAATTCTGTGAACATTTTTCTGTCATTCTCTAAGACTAACAACAAACTGAAAACTTAATTGCTTTAAAACAACATTCACTGTCAATACCTCCAAAGCATAAGGATTCCTAGGACAGTGAGCATTCCATTTACACGATGATTCTAGCTATCCAATTCTTGTTCTCCTCAGCATAAGAGTCATTCTCCAATCTTTCTTTCTCTAAGGATCACTTTGCTTTTCCAGTGATAAAACCACAGAGAATATATAGCACAAAATATTGGTCAATTGTCTGCCTTGTACTTTCTGGAGACAAATCAGATATTTTATAATGGGAATCAGAGTGGTTTCTTACTGTTTAGCCTTGTATTTTGATGCATCCCTTGGTTCGCTGCTGGGGTTGCTCCAATCATCAGCTTCGGGAGTTGTCTTGTAATGGCGCCATGCAGACTTATTGAAAACGGGCAGCCTCTCAAATGATTCACTTGAAAGGGCCTATTAGAAAAAAGTACATACATCAAAGGTCTAGGACACTTTTTCTCATGTGAAAAATCACAGAATGTACTCTTTTAAACACCAATAACCATGTTTGTTCTTGAAATATTAAAACTTATTTTATAGATTCATTTAGACTGGTCAGGAGAAAGATCCTGAACCACTTCTAAATGAGTGAAATCATTTGCTAACATCCCTCACACAAATCAGTACTGAAACACATATGACAGGAACAAAACACATTGTAATTCAGTCAATGCTGCTTTGCAATATTCAATAGTTTTGACAGTATGTGCTTACATCAAGCATTTTTATTCAACAGGCAACTGCTATCCTAAAAATAACCCAGAAGAAATAAAGTTTCATAAACATTTGCCACCAAGTGATATTAAACATCACATCATTTAGGGGCTGGGAATATAGCTTAGTAGTAGAGGACATGTATAGTATCATGCAGGAAGCTCTGGGCTCCATCCTCAGCACCAGAGCAAGCAAACAAACCCAATGTTGATATATACTAACATCCAAACAACAAGTGAAATTGTGATATCATTTCCAGTAATACACTATGCATGGTTAAAAAGAATGAGCCAATTCTATATGGACTGATGTAGAAATTTCTGCAAGATACATTCCAAAGTTAAGAAAGGAAAGCTACTGAAATGTCTTTCAGATTAGATTTTTAAAATCTATTTATAAATATATAACCCTCTATTATAGCTTTTTGATGTTACTATTTTTTTGAGACAAGGTCTCACACTGTTTACCCCTAGCTGGCCTGGAACTTCCTACATAGACCAGGCTAGCCTGCATCTGCCTTCCAAGTGCTGAGCTTAAAGTTGTTTGCCACCACACCCAGCTCCTCCATAAGATTTTTGTTTGTTTTACTTTTGTGATAATGGAATGGAACCCAGAGTGAAGACAAGTATAGCATAGTGCCAGCAGTGGAACACTTCATTTCCCATTTTAAATTTTTAAATGTTACTATGTGCCTCTACTATCTATTGAAACAATATACCAAAATTCTAGAATTCAGGAACAGAAGTCTAACTCTACCAATAAATGAGAAAAACTGTGTTATAGAGAACTTGGTTATTAGATAAACATTTTAAAAGGCCAATATTATGAGTTTATTTAAAAAAATAATACACAATGTAAAAGTTCCATTTTTGTATATAATTTCTTTGTGCTGAGTCTCCTCTCATCTACCTTTTCTCTTCCATCCCCCTGTATACCCTTTCATCTCTAGTAGTTTTCTTCTTTTATGTGCTGTTCTACTATCTTCCCATGCATCTACAAAATCTCTTTTCTCTCATGGACCTCTTCATAGTTTTGTGAACTATATTAATGTTCATTTCCATATATTTACATATATACACATATGCACAAATTAAAAGCTAAAATCTGCATGAGAGGAGCAAGTATTCAATATTTGTCTTTCTGTGTCTGGGTTACCTCACTTGATATAGAGAGCTACAGTTCTTTTTATATAAACGTATTATTACTGAATTTTTTTTTAATTTTTGGTTTTTTGAGATAGGGTTCCACTGTGTAGCCCTAGACATCCTGAAACTTGATCTATAGAGCAGAATGACCTTGAAATTAGAGATTCATCTGCCTCTACCTCCTAAGTACTAGGATTAAAGGCACATGCCACCAACACCCGGCGTCATTACTGAATACTTCTAACTTGAAAAATTAAAGTAAAACAAGAAAGCTTCAGATTCTTGGAAATCAGTCTCCTTTTAAGCTAGGTCTTTCAATGAACATATAATTTTGAAAAACCACAATTTAGATATATGGTTGTAAAATCAAAATTTTAAGTTGTATACCCCTATGCTTCCTATTTTTGTTATGTCTTGGCATAAATCAATCATGAGGCATAGCATGGTTTCATAAATCTGATCTCAAGTTAAGAGAATATAGTGTTCTTCTTGACTAGCTATGGTTACTTCCAGCTTTAAAAAGTCAAGAGGCCTTTACACTAACAGAAACAAAACATAATACCTTCAGATAAATGACGGCATCGGTACCAACTCCTTCCATGGAATACAGTTTTAGATCTCCCTGAAAATATCTGGCATACAGTCGAGAAATTGGCAAGCCATAACCAAATCCAGCCTATTAAGAAAAGAAAATTAATAGAATGAGAGTGGCACAAATGCTGCATAATGGACCACTTATAATAGAAGATTAAAACAAATCCCTGATTTTAAATCAAATGATTTGTAACTCAGGCTTTATAATGTGTGTCTATAATCTATGACCAAAACTCCTCATTTCTATTAAAAAGAAAAACATTCTCAAGTTTGGGTAACGAAATAATTCCTTTTTTAAAAAGCATTTAAAGTAGAATTTTACCTACATCTATCTATCTAGCCCTGGCTGTCCTAGAACTTGCTCTGTAGACCAGGCTGGTCTCAGACTCAGAGATCCTCCTGCCCCTGCTACCTAGAGTGCTGGCATTAAAGGCACATACCACCAATGCCTGGCAAAAATTGAAATTTAGCAATAACAAGACCAGAACACTGAGAAAATTCTCTTGAAGTTCCTTCCTATAGGTCTGGAAAAGCTACAGTATATTGATACAGTGAATGGGGATTTTTAAAAATAAAATTAGTACCTTCCTATATTTCAATGTCATCAAACTGGCAGCCAATACTTCTTTTAAACTAAAGGTCACAGATCTTGGCAAGAATAAGAACAATGATACTAAAGACAGTGACTTTGTGGTTGGCCACAGGTGGGTATGGGGAGATGCTATCTGGTAAGATTTAGCAGTTTGGATTAAATCTGGATCGGGAATAGGGCCTTAAGGAAAGAGGGCTATGATCACACATGCTTCTGACTCTGATAGATCTAAGTTGAAATCTCCATTTATGTGTGACTGAGCAGTTCCTTCAACTTTAAGACTTCTCTCACCATGAAATGAAGTGCTTATCTCCAAGCTGATAAGGGTTCCACGTTATAACAAAGCTGCCTCTGTGCAGTATCTATCACACAGTAAAACTCAGTAAGAGACAAATGTGAGGACCTGAGTTCAATACTGGGTCCACATGGAGAAAAAAGCAGTGAATTGACTCTAGAGATTTGACTTCTGACCTCCCAAAATATCAAAGAATTAACAGTCATAATAGATACTCTCAAAACAGAAATTTTGAACATGTGGGGAGATCAGGCTGTACCATGCTCTAAGTTGTTTCATACGATGCAAAAGAGTAGCTTTAAGGCTGTGCCTTGTCATGGACAAATCTGCTTTAGAAAGTATCATTTGGCTCCATTGCATAAATGCAAAGGCAGGATTGGTCCCACACCTCATAGTACACACAGACACCATTAGCACCATCCACCATCAGTGTACATCAAGCACCATATGTATGACACAGACTAGCAACATTTCTAGTGTAAAAAGGTACCATCTACAAATTTATCTAAGTAACCAGGGGACATATGGATACATTGGATGTATTAAAATCATTTCAGGTGCTGGGGCTGTAGCTCAGTGGGTAGAGTGCCACCCTATCACACCAAAAGCCCTGGATTCAGTTCCCCAGCACCATCAAAACTGAGGTGGCATACAGGTCTGTCCTCCAAGCAGGAATATCAAGAGCTCAGGGTCATCCTAGCTGCAGCCAGCTCTCAGGCCACCTAGATGACATCAGTCTCTCCCTCAAAACCACTATCACTTGTGCTGGTGAGACAGCTCAGTGAGTTAAAGCACTTGATGTGTAATCCTGACAACCCGAATTCAATCCCTGGATCTAACAAACAGGTAAAGGGAGAGACTCCAACTCCATGAAATTCTCCTCTGACTTCCACACACTCATATAATAAAAATGTAAAAGTCTATCTTCAGGGCTGCAGCAATGGCTCAGCAGTTATATGCACTTGCTATTCTTGCAGAAGAACCTGGTTTGCTTCCCAGCACACATGTGATTGCTCACAACCATATGTAACTCCAGTTCTAGAGGATCCAATGCTCTCTTCTGATCTTCACTGGAAATAGGCATGCATCTGGCATCTGGTATACACACACACACACACACACACACACACACACACACACACACACACACAGGCAAAACACTTATACACATAAAATTTAAATTTGTTCAATTAAAAAAACAGTGTATATAAGAAAACACAGATATGTAAAACTAAGCCATTTGGAAAGAGAATTCTTTTCTAGTACTAGACAGCCATGCACCCACTTTAAAGTTGAGGAGAGATGTCAATGGAAACATTTCTTCAAGAGCAGACACAGCAGTATACTAGAAGTTCACAGCCAGCCAGCACCAGCTCTACCATTAATTTGCTTTGGCCCTCTTTCCCTCATCTATATAATGGGAAGGTGGATAAATAAGTCTCTTGTAGTCCTGCTTCTCAAACAAACAAACAAGCATGGCATAAAGAGCTATCCTCAGGATGCTATTTTAAGACCTGGAATGATAATCGATATTCTTTTTAAACAACTAGTGAAAATGCAAAACTTGTACCAAACCCTGGTCAAGGTAATACTGTTACAAATTGATTTTTCATGAATTTTCTTGAATCCTGTATAAATGACTTCCTCAGTTTTCTACATGCTGAGTTAACAAACTCTGCCTCAAATAACAATGCAAAATGTTTGATTTTATTCATACAAATAAAATATAATCTTATGTGCTTATCAGTCAGGTAGGACTTTAAAATGAAACTTAATTTATACCCTGAGCCATTTTGCAGACTGATAGATACATTGCTGTGTTTAATGACAAAGGGTTCAATTGTTGTTTGTCAATTAGAAACACTCAGCAGGGGAAGAAAGTGGGGCCCTACCAGGAATAAATGCTACCATGGTAACCAGAGGCTTTTCTCACTGACTGAATGAGGCTGAAGGTTATTTCTAGAGTGCTACAGAGAGACCTCTGAAAATACATATATCGCCTATGTGTTTTGTGCTTAGATTATGAAAATTTCAATGTTTTCATAATTCCATAAAATAAACATTTTAATTACATAGGTCATCCAAAGGCTTTGGGTGACTTAGGCCTATAAGGTATGCAGCACTAAAGTTTCTTCTACTAAGCTGTAGCCAAACACTCTATTCAGTCCCTTTGCTCACCCATGGATAATGTCCACCTCTCTGAGGGTGGTGCATGACAGTAAGCGACCCTCCAGGAGCAGTCTTGTCACAGAGAAAAGCTTGTTCACAGTACATTTGAGAGTGAAGCATTCAACTTGGAGTGTTTTGTAGACAAATTAGAAAAGCACTCTCAGTCCAAAAGAACTCCAAAGACCAAATAGCTAAGACAAAAAAGGTGCCTCTGATTTCACCCATACCAGACACATCCTCATTCAGGTAAGGCTAGCACAACCACCTGAGGAGACGGGCAACTCTCTATCCCTATGTTAAAGACCTTTCCTTCGGCGGCAGTTTGCCATGCTTACCAAGGGAGCAGCTCTTGTAGGCTCCAGGCTGGGTCGAGGAGCAGTGGAATACATGTAGTTAAAAAGACGGTCTATTTTTCGAAGTGGGACTCCACCACCTAGGTCACTTATCTGTAATGCACAAAATGTTAAAAATAAAAGGGGAGTGAACCTGTGCTTGGGGGGGTGGCGATAAGAATTCCTTGAATGAAGCACATGCTAGAAGGCTCTAAAATGAGTAAGGACTTTGAGCTGCCATTGAAAAGTGGTTCCTTTGGGGACAGTGTAAACAAAGGAGACAAAGTAGTGCAACACAATCAGACAGGTTTAGGATTGAGGTCCTGCTCATAAACATTCAATGAGGTAACTTAATCCAAGAATCCACTACAATATAGTCATGGTTCCATAAATGACAGAGACACAATAAGAAATGTGCCATTAGTCAATGTCATCAGGAAAGTATCTTATACAGAATTACTATACTATCACTAGACAATCACATCTTATGGGATTACTACTATATATGTGTACAGTTCATTGCTGAGAAAGCACTGACACATGACTTTACTTACAAATAACACACTCAAGAAATGCCAATTTTCTTTCCTTCCCTCTCATACTATTAAATACACACTACTAAATCAACTGATAATTGAAGTAAAAATGTAAATAAAAGGTTACCTTAATGGACAAGTCTTCTTTACCTAGAGTAACGAGAGTTTTAACAGCTGGGTAGCCCTCTTTTCTATTTTCATGTAGTTCAACTGTTGCTCTCATCGAGTTCTAAAACAATAAACTCTTTTTGAAAACCATGCTTCTTACTCACAAAGTACAATTCAATTCAATTAAATGTATTAATTAATTTTGGTGCTGAGTAGAACTCAAAGCCATGTACAAGCTACACATATACTCTACCACTGAGCTAGGCCCAGTCATGAAAAAAAAACCCCACAATTTCAAAAAAGAAATAAGCACAAGGTTATTTACATGTGATAATTATTTTGTGGAGCTATTATTAATAAGATGTATGTGGACTGTTTTCTTCTACTGAACTTAGCTATCCATGGATTTCTATCAAAGAAATCCTGATAGTCTATTTTGCACTTAATTGTTAAGCCTTCTTTCTTTCTTCTTTTTTTGGTTTTGGGGATTTTTGAGGGAAGGGAGTGGTTACGACATGGTCTCACTATGAACACTAGGCTGGCCTTGAAATCATAAACAGACCTGTCTTTACCTGTCCAGTGATGGGATTAAAGGCACAATGTCACCATGCCTGGTGACTTTAGGGTTTTAAAATTATTCAGCTCAACCGAAAAGAAAGCTTGAATCACATGAAATGGGGCTGTTTCTGCACTTTAAATCCTATTTATCAGCTGCTTTTATAAAGTACCTTTCCTTCAATGAAGGTAGAAAATCTGAAGGGATTCATACTTTCCACAAAAATTAATCACTGGATTGAAAAAAATAGGATAAAATATCCATCAAAAAGACACCCTGAGTACATGTGAGGGGGCAGAGAGGGTAAATGGGAGGGAGGGAGGGAGGATGGGAGGGAGAAAGAACTGGGATCGACATGTAAAATAATATATTAAATTTAAAAAAAAGACACCCTGAAAGGTCACAGATAACAAGAAAGCTCTCAACTAAATGTCTACCTCAGTATCACACCATTAGCACTCTTGCTCTTGGGGACAAAACAGTATATCTGATTCTTTAGGTGTTCAATTTAGTGTTTTATACATTAAAAGTGATGAATTGTTAGCTCTAATACCCTGTATGCATAACACTGGATACTTGGTAACAAAAGCACAGCTTAGGCCATAGTCTAAAAAAAGGTTTTGTTTTCTTTCCTTTTTAGCCCAAGCTCCACATCTTCCCCTCCTGCCTCTATCAGGTCTTCTGAACTTATGCAAATTATAAAATGGTTACAGGATCTCTCAGGACTGGAATGACTATGCATTAACACAGTTAATGCTCCAGAATCATAGATACACAGTAATGTGTTTTTATTTGGCTATGGTAATCACCAATAAAACCTTTGTCAGGTTTGAAAACCTAAAAAGCATCTCTAATCTCCTAAATGAAAGAAAAATAGTATGGATTTGTTGTGAAGTTACAAAAGTACAATTAAGTTTCAAAATCAATATGTACTAATATTCACAAAACTATACTGTACACAGCAATTTTTCATCTCATAGTTTACAGATTATAAAGCCCACTGGATATCAGAAATAGACTTTTAAAATGGTTATGCAAAATCTTTTTCTTATGCTAATCTAATGAATCCATTATGCCCAGAATGCACAAAACTATTTAAAATGAAGACTTCTTCCCATGCTTTAAAATTCCACTTACCTTGAACAGTTCAAATAGCATGTGAAACAGATGTGACGGCACATAAACTACCTGAATAGGTTTGTTTGGTGCTTTGGCTGAAAACAGAAACAAAACCATCAATGAATATGGACCCAAAATAGGAGAATATAGAAAAAAATGATGCTTGTATTATATTTTCTAAGTACAGAAAACAAACCTCCATAAAAGACTAATAATAGAAATTCCCATATTTAATGACATAACTGAGCAAAAATACATGCTTCAGAATCAAGCAAATACTCAGTGAACTACATGTCATTCACTGTAGCTTCATGACCTTGAGAAATCAGTCAAATTCTCTCAAACTTTATTAAGCAAAACTGGAATAGTAGCAATTGTGACATGGTATTCTGAGAGTCACACAAGAACACACAATTATCACTTGGAATTTTTCAAATCAGAAGGACAGATCTGCCATCAGTCCCAGGAGTCATTTGTGAGAATATGAGCCAACTGAGAAGGGGTGGTAAACTGGACTTAACAGCACTGCCATGGTTTGACTCTCAACTGCTCACTGAAAGGCTTAAGGCTTGATTAGCTGCCAGATGATAGGCTTTAGGGAAATTACTAAATGTATCAAGAGGGATCTGAGCCCATGAATACTTAATCCATCTATAGATTCATAATTTAATGACAGTATTGGGAGATGGCAGAAATAGGAGGTGGACCTGGTTGGAAGTAGGTTCCTGGGGCATGTTCTTGAAGAGGGTATCTTGTCACTGGCCCCTTGTTTGCTCTTTCTTGGCTGCTGTGAGGCAGCAGCCTCATCTTCCACTTTCTCCTGCTGTCATGACAGTTTGCCTTGCTTCAGGCCCAAAGCAATGGGACCAAGAGACATGGATTGAAACCTTTCAAATTTGTGAGCCTAAACTAACTTTTTTGATTTGTTTATCCACTGTTACAAAGAAAATAAAACCAAAACACTAACACTTGTCAGGCATGCTGGCGGATGCCTTTAATCTCAGCACTCAGGAGGCAGAGGTAGGTGGATGTTTGTGAGTTTGAAGCCAGCCTGATCTACAGTGCAAGCTCAAAGATAGCCAGGACAATCAGAAACCCTGTCTGGAAAAACAAAACAAACAAAACCAATAAAAATAGTTATATGATGATAAACAGGACATAGTGTAGACTAGACTATGAGGTTCACATAACTTTCTACTACAATAAAATCCTTGAATATCCACACTATTATCCTTGAACCAGAATCTCTGGAGGAAAATCAAAGAACCTGAACCTCATGCAAAGCACTAAGAACAGTATGTTAAAGACAGATGCTCAACATGAAGTCCTTCTTCCTCCTCATGACCTGCAATCAGGTGAGACAATGAAACATGGACTTTCTCAAACAGAACAGATTTAGCTCATAACTTAAACCTGTTTCCTCTAAAAAGTAATGGACAATAATATAAGTTAGAGGTAATTATTTGGTCTTGGTACTTTATTATGAGATTTTCTATTCACCATGAAGTTATGACAACACATAGTGGTCATAAAATAGTTGGTATCAGTTATAGATGAGCAAACAGGCTTTGGAAAAGCTAATAAGTGCTGCTGAAATTGGACACATGGTGCTGCTGGTTTGTATCTCATGTATCACCCAAAGGCTCTACATTAAAGACATGGTTTGCCACTCTGCGGTGAAGCCAATGTGAAGACAGGACATTGAAGGCATGCCTCCAAAATCAATTTTGGTTGGATTCTAGCCTTTTCCTCCTTCTCTTTTCTTCCTGGCTTCTATAAAGTAAGCAACTTTAGCTCATCACATGTTCCCTTCCATAATTCTGGGTCCAGCCATGTGCCCTACAGGCATGTCCAACACTTTGACACTGCATCACCTACAAAGTTGACACCAGAGAGCCATACAATTGAGTTGTTCAAATACACACACACACACACACACACACACACACACACACACACTCTCTCTCTCTCTCTCTCTCTCTCTCCAAATGTTTTAAGTAGTTTATGATTTTGTATTGAGTCATAACCATAGCTATTCTGGATTACTGATTGGACACATGCATCTGTAACAATGAAGCCAATCTATCATGGACAGCAACCTCTAAAACCACTGTTTAAAATAAATCTTTCCTCTTTTAGAATCTTATCTCAGATATTTTGTCATGATCAATACAAATGGCCTAAGAGCATTTTTGGCAGGGAGTAGGAATCAAATCTAGGGCCTCATGTTCTTAGATAATAACTGCTATACTACAGAGCTCTGCTTCCAGCTCCCAAGCCCTTTGTTATAATTTACTTAAAATATTATTTAGTAATACATTTAAATGTCTGAAAAACCTAAAAACAGAAAGCCAAAGTCCCTTTACCATCCGGCCCTCTGTACTTCTGTTGTGGTATTTTGAAGGATGCTTATATTCTGTTCTGTAATCCTCATTAACTATTCTATCTGTTCTCTATAGGCTGTTAAGAAAGCTAAAAACCAGTAATGTTGGCAATACTTTATGTAAGTACCAATTACTCTGGGACAGCTACAAAAGCACTATTTCCTTCCCTGTGGATCCAATGACATAACTCATATGTTACTTGGAGGAAATACTTTCAGTCTTAGAGTGGAATGGATTCTGTCTATACACTTCCAATTTATCATCATATCACCCTTTTTAGAATGTACCACATTTAGTCAGTGGTGGTTTGAATGAGAAATGTCCCCCAAAAGCTCATGCTTTGCGATACTTTATCCCTCAGTGGTGATACTATTTGGGGAGGTTATGGATCCCTAAGAGGTAAAACTTTGCTAGAGGAAGTGAAGTATTTTATTTCCTGCTTGTGTTTATCCTTTTCACTACCTCGCCATCCTTCCTATGTGATAATGAAAATGTGATTACCTAGCTTTCTACTCTTGCTGCCATGACAAGCCTTCCCCACCATGAAGGACACTATCCTTTAAAAAAAAAAAGTAGTAGCCCAAACGAAGTCTTTCTTTCTTCCTTAAGTTGGTTTTGGTTGGTATTTGATCACAACAAAAAAAAAAAAAAAAGGGAAAAAAATAGCTGGGCGGTGGTGGCATGTGCCTTTAATTCCAGCACTTGGGAAGCAGAGACAAGTGGATCTCTGTGAGTTCGAGGCCAACCTGGTCTACAGAGCTAGTCTCAGGACAAGCTCCAAAGCAATACAGAGAAACCCTGTCTCAGAAAACAAATGAGCAAACAATGTAAAAACAAAAACAAAAAAGTAACAGTACACAGTGCATTTTTCCTATTCACGCTTGCGTTTTGTCACTGTGTCACCAAGATCTTCCAGCTTCTTCATTTGCATGCTGTCCATGCTATTCTTTAGGAATTTTCAAATCAGATCCAGCTGCTTTTTAAACATGCTACATGGCCATCTCTGGGGCTCCAGAATGTCTCATCTTTCTTTTCATCTATATTATACAGCCCACTGACCAAGTTACATAACTACCTTACTAAAGTGTGCATGGGAGACACATCTCCAAATCCTAATAACCCTGTCTCAGTTGAGGGCTTAGCTACATATAGAACTTGGGGTTTAAAAGCATTCTCAGAATTTGGTAAAGAGGGGCACATTCTGGCAGCAAGTACAGCAGAGAAATTCAACGCCAGTTAGGTGTTGTTCATAGTACTGGCTTTTGGCAAGGTCAGACATACCATGGTTGTGATTTTGTTTAGGAATTAAGTTTATAACTGAATTCATCACTTGAGTTACCTAGTGTCCCTTTCCCTTTGGAGATTGCCCATAGTGAGAAGGCTGACTTGGGAGTTTTTAAAGCCTCACCAAGATTCCACTGACTTTAGAATATGCCCTTATTAAGGTAAACTATGACCAGAGAGGCCTTCAAATGCTAAAATGAAGAAGGCTTTACTTTGGAGCAATATTATTCACATAACCTGCCCAGTAAGTTGTTGTTCAACAGCATTCACTCACTGTACTGTTGGTAGCAGAGCCTAGACTGAGTAAAGCTAGTCAGTCCCTGCCATCTCCTTTAGCTTCCTTTCTGTTGTAGTTGTTTGCACCACTCACCACTGCCCCCAGAGTCCCTCTCCAGGCTAACTGAAAAAATGGCTGCCATCTCTGCAGCAGCCTTCTCCTTTTTGGTTGGTCTTGCCCTATCCTATCAGTCAGCATACTTCTATCTGTCTGTATTCTTCCAGGAGTTGGCACCAGTGTGTTTCCAGGACTCAGTGCCTGTGTCTCTCTCAATTCACACCTCAAAACTGAAACCTTAAAGTGATGGTACTTAGAGGTGGGCCCTGTGGGAGTTGATAATTCATGAGAGTAGAGCCTGGTGAATGGGAATAGTGTTCTTCTCAAAAAGACCCCAGAGATCTTTGGCCCCTTCCTACATGTAAAGGCATAGCAAGAAGTCATCTATAAGTCAGAAAATAGTACCAATCTTGTACTTCCCAGGTTCTAGACCCATGAGAAACAAATGTCTGTTATTTAATCCACCCAGTCTCTGATGGTTTTGTTTAGCAGCCTGAAGGGACTAATACAGTGGTCCACTTATAACCTCCTTGGCTTCTTTTGCTGCTTTTATGGGATTCTTTTATTGTGGTTGTAATGGGGCCTGAGAAACAAGCTGAGTGCTTAGTCTATCTTGTGGCAAACTGCATCATTAGTTATATAAACAGCCTAAGAATTCAATTCAACCTTTTCAATCCAAATCTCAAGGAAATGAAAAACATTTTACAGTTTGTTTTCTTCTTTTAAGTTTAAACAATATTCTCTAGGAGTCATCTAAAGGCTTGGTCAATTATGTGTACTTTTCTTTGGGAATATTACAGTTGACATTTCTTTTCTTCCTTTTAAAACCATGTAAAATGTTTTTGGCTATGATTCTTCCCTTATCCTGGGCCTAGTGGCTATAGTGGATGATTAGTAGAGGTTTGTTGACTTTATAAAATAAGATGAATGGAATATGAATATTCCCTCTAATAGTACAGTTTTAAAAGTCAGTGAAAAAAATGGGCTGAGCTTTTTTTATGCTTCAGACTCAAGAAATAATAAAGTCTGTTTTGCACAGTCATTGCTCGAAACACCATTAGTTGAAGCAGCACTTAATAAATGTCAACAGAACTCTATATAGACATAAGGAACTTTACTTTCAGATAGCTTTCCTGTAAGAATGAAAAGTTGGAACTGGAGTCTAGACAGAAAGAAACAAATACAAAAGAAGAGGGAGCAGTACAAGATTAAAGCCTGAAGTAAATGGAAAAGGCTACTGACCACAGGATACACTGCACATTCCTATCTAAAGATGACTTACAATATTATTCCCAGTTGACTAAATGTATAGGAACCATTTTGAAAGAACATAAAGATGGAAATGCAGCACTATGTTAGGAAGTCTTGGTAAGACAGCTCGGACATAATTAGCATTTAGGTCACCTTCTTCGCAGTTAACATTAAAAATACTTTTTCTTGTCTATGGCCATCCTGTCCTGACCCTGTATGATCTCATCTAAAATGCTTTTGTCTTTTACCATTGAATTCTTCCACTTCCAGCTCTGGCGCTACCAGGTAATACTGTTCACAGAGCAGCTTAGCTGTTTCATATGCATCTGTAAGAAAGAAAAATTGAACCGTTGCATTAATTACATAGAAATACGCATGTGGGTGTATATACAGAAATAAAGTCAATCTGTCTAAACTGGCTTTAAATGAATCAAATACCATCTTTTAAAGCAGTCTTTTGGCTTCAACACATTTCTATGAGTAAAATACTTCTCTTTCCTAAGTTTTAACACCATGGCCATATCAAAATCATAGACTAGTAAGAAGAAAGCTAGGTTTATGCAAAGCACACAACTGTTTAAATTTAAACAATGCTAAAAGATATTTTTCATGACAATTTACATAAACTCAGAACTATATATCTGAACATCACAAATTCTGATTAAATTTTAGCAAAACAATACTTTCTGTAATTTAAAAAACTGACAACAGTCAGTCCCAGAGAGATCCGTGACCTGCTGCTGACCCAGCTCAGCAGTTTAGAGCACTTTCTGCTCTTTCAGAGGACCCCGGTTCAATTCCAGCACCTACATGCTGGCTCATATCCATCCATATTGCAAGTTCCATGGGGATTTGATTCTCTCTATCGTCTCTGTAGGTACCAGGCATGTATATCATACACATACATACATACATACATACACATACATACATACATATATACATGGAGGAAAAACACTCATACACATAAAATAAATCTTTAAAAGATTGCCAACAGTCATGATTTTCCAGGTATTGGCAAATGAAACAATAAGAATTTACTGAGTAAATAGGTTTTCATGAAATACAGAACCACCTGCTGTCTTAAGTCAGTTAAAGGTCTAAGGTGCAAGTTTGTTTTTCAACAGGAAAAAATAGACATAAGATAAGAAAATCAAGTTCATTACAAAAATAGCTAGAAGACAGATTGTAGAAAAGTTAAAAAGGTAGGAATAAATTAAGAAAGGAAAAGTGCCTTACAAAATAATTATCTATAACTTTTCTTGAACTGTAAACCATTTTTAAAAAGGAAAAATAAAAGACAATCTGAGGAAAAGATTTGGGTCTTCATTTGCTTTGTAATGTTACATAGAACTTAGTCTAGTAACTATTTAGATGGCTATTTCTTAGTTCAGTATCAAAACCATTTATGTACCTCACTTTAAAACTTTACTGACACAAAATTCTCATAAAATTCACCCATTTACAATCCAGTGGTATTTAGTATTATCTGCCAAGTTGTGCACCCCTTATCATAACTAACGTTTTTACCACTGCAAAAGAAGTTCCATGCTATTAGTGATCATTTTTCTCTATCCAGCCCTTGACAACCACTTTTTTACTTCTGGACATATCAAATAAACTGAATACTGTAACATGTGGTCTTTTTGTGGCTGGTTTCTTTCCTACAGCATAGTGTTTATGATGGTTAGCTCTGTCAACTTAACATAATCTAGGATTACCTGGAAAAGGAGTCTCAATTGGGGCTCTGGTCTATAGGCATGTCTTGATTATATTAACTGAGGTGGGAAGACCTGCTCAACATGAGTAGTACCATTCCTTAGGAAGGGAATTCAAAATTAAGAGTAGAGAAAGCAAGCTAAACATTAGCATGCAAGCATGCATTCTTTGTTCATTGGTGCTGATTGTGGATGTAATATAAATAATTCTATCAAGTTCCTTCTACTATGAATTCCCTGCCATGATGGAATGTAACCTGAAATTTAGAGCCAAATACATCCTTTCTCCCTTAAGTTGCTCTCATCAAGGCATTTTATTGTAGCAGAAAGAAAGGTTATCTATGTTGTAATATGAACCAGTAGTTCATTCCATATATTTAAACTTCATAGTATAAAAATAATTTAACTAATAGCCATATATGCCACATTTTCTTCATCTGCTTATTAGCTGATAGACATTAGTTTACAATGTTTTGTTATTATGAATAATACTGCTATGAACATTTATGTCTACACTTTTGTGAAACATGCTTTTGTTTCTCATGTACCTAAGAATAGGAAAGTGATGAACTATATAGTAACTGCAAATAAACACTGGAGAATTACCAGACTGTCAGAACAAGACCTTTTAGTTTTCCTTACAATTTCCAAAAATCAGATGGGTACATTTACAATATTCTCAGCTACATACGAACTTCCTAAGATGAACAAACACTGTGCATAAAAATATACTTGCTTAGGTTCAAGAGGTCAGAGAAGGGAGGAAGAAAGGGAAATCAGCTCTAGGGAATTTAAATGTTAATATTTGACATTACAATATTAAAATAATACAAAGGAAGAACAGGATATATTCAGACTATAAGTTCATTTGCCTTGCATTGCTACCAAATTAGAATTTCATATTCTAATTATCTAATATTATTTGTCCCCACACTAAATATTCTCACCTCATTAAACTTTTAGAATTAAGCACCACAAGACAGGCATCAAACTAATTGTGACAAGATACAATAAAATGAAAATAAAAAGGAAATAGTAGTAAGACCAGAAAGTAATTTTAAAAGAATTAGAAGTGTGAAAATAGACATTAAACTAGGTTTGAATTTTAACCGCCACCAAAAGGTAGAATTTAAACTATACTATACTGAATTTGCACATTTTTCCTAGGACATAACAAGCCTTGTCAATTATATGTAAAATATTATTTTGAGAGAAAGAGGGGGGGGAGGAAGAGAGGGGGAAGAGAGGGAAATCAAGGAGCAGTTCTTTTGCTTTGGCTGGTCTACTAAACAATACTACATCTCCACCTAGTGACGCCATAGCACAAAAGCTGACCATGAACTTTTAAGACCCCAAATACTGAAATATACAATGATTCATTATCTACATACAAAGTCAATACACATTAACTCCTCCAGATACATAATAATTTTTAATATTGAACTACCTTTCACTATAAAATAATGACAGAAACCAAACCTACTAAATTATCAATGGCATTAGCTTTGCTATTACTGTGAGTATGATAGTACTGAAAACATGCTAGGCATATACAATGTGTGGAGGATACTGGAGTCCAAATAAAAACAACCAACCCCAAACTTACTATTGTTCCTAAAACCACACGTGAATAAGAATATTTTAGCTTCATTATATACTGTCGTGGAGCAGTGATACAATTAAGAATTACTTTATTATTATTATTGAAAATCTCAAAGCACTGCAATATAGATTTTCATACATTAGCTAGTCAATTTTTATTAATAAAAATAGATATCAATATGCATCAATTATCACATGATACTAAATGCTTTGTATAAAACACATAAATATTAAATATCTGATTAAGGGCTGGGGATGTAGCTCTGCACAGTACTTGCTTACTTTATGAAAGGCCTTGGGTTTAATACAAAACACCGTGAAAGCAAAAACTAAAGCATTTGCTAGAAAACAAACATTTGGCCAATGATAAAGTTTTCACTATTCAGTCAATTACACTAACAAGGTGTTCCTTTTAGTTAGATTTGAGGTTAGAGTCCCAGAGTAGTAACAAAGGAATAGCAAAGATTATTACTAATTAGCCTTTTGGGTAAGGTCTAGTGTAAATAGTTCAGATTATGAAATATATTCCTGGAAATTCTGAGGCAGTATCTGTCTTATGAGGCCTAGGGACAGACATTTTAAAAAATCAGCAAGTAGGCCAGGTGTTGTGGCACAATGCCTTTAATCCCAGCACTCAGGGTTAGAAGGAAGAAGCAGGTGGATCTCTGAGTTTGAGGTCAGACTGGTCTACATAGTTTCAGGATAGCCAAGTAATTCTGGAAAGACTGTAAGTGACCACTTGCTTGAAAAGTCAAGGCTATATACCACATTTCTGCACTGTCTCTCCCAAGACAAATGATCACATCGCTACTGAGTGTTTGGCAGCACTAAAACAGGGCATTCTTTGCTTAAGTAATTTAACATAAAAACCATTTTCAAAATTCCAACAAGCAAAAACTCAGCTACTGGTATGGAACTTTCATTTATACTTAGAGTTTTTGTAAGCTGTAAGCTCTCTTTACAGTTAAGTTCTCTAAATAAAAATTTACTATGTGAAATTAGAAATCAAAGTTTTTGAAAAAATATTGTCAAACTATATTTGCCTGTACTATCTCAGCCAGAATTTACTACTTGTCTTGAAAAGGAAGCATGGGAAATTATTATTATTGCCAGTAAATGTAAATGATAGCCACTGCACTAAGAATGCTTGCAATGGTAATAGAGTATTTCCAGTTGATATATCTTTGGCCATGAATCATTTTTCATAAATATCACATAGAAAATTTTAAAAGGTTATGGAGCTTATTTTGATAATAATTCTGTATTCCAAATCTATCATATAACTCTTCCATCATCTATCAGATTTTACACTTAATCTGTTGGATCACTCATTTGCAACATAAGGAGCTAGAATTTGAGTACTGAAAAATTTTTAAATAAACATGTCATAGAAAATAACTTTAAGTCTAACAGAACAAAGAAAAATCTTATAACTCCAAGATTATGATTCCTGTCAGAACAAAGTACACATAAATAGCCATAGTACACATAAACAGCCATAACTACTGCAAAGTCCACACACCATTTTTATTTATCTTTTATGTGTTTCTCTATGTGTATATGTGCATATTACTGTGGGAGAGTATCTCAAGGTCAGTCCTTGCCTTCTAGCTCCTTTGAGACAGATGCTTTATAAAAGTTTTGGGAACCTGAACTTACGTCTTCATACTTGCATGGAAAGCATTTTTACCCACTGAGTAATCTCAACAGCTTTGATTATTTATTATTTTATTTTATGTGAATGGGTGTTTTGCATGTATACCTTGTGTACTCTGTGTATGCAGTGCCCACAGAGGCCAGAAGAGGGCAACAGATCCCTTGAAACTGGAGCTATAGACAATTGTGAGCTGCCATGAGGGTGCTGGGGATTGAATCCCGGTCTTCTGGAAGAGCAGTTGGTTCTTTAAACTGCTGAGCCATCTCTCCAGCCTCAAGATTATTTTATTATTTTTATTTTTAACAAAACAAAACAAAGAAAAACACCACACCATTATTTTCATGTGGTA